GGAAAACAGATATATAATTACATACTGTTTTTGTGATGAATCACTATGCTTTAATTATGTTCAATTTGTAACAATGAAATTGGGGGTCACCACAACATGAGGAGCTGTATTAGAGGGTCGCGGCATGAGGAAGGTTGAGAACCACTGTACTAAATGGAATTGCTTTATGGAGCGAGAAATACCGGACGTCCATCCCAACTCGGTGCTGCACAAGGTCAGCAAGGAGCGCTGTTGTCCTGGTTCATAGGTCGATGCCCAGCCTCTGAGCCAGGCCGGCCGGGCTTCTTCTTCTTCTGATATTTTCCCAACCATTTAAAAGGGTAAAAACCATTGTCAGCTGTGAGCTGTATGGAAACGAGTGGAGGGATGTGCTTGACCTACAGCTCACGTAGCTGGCCAGTCCCTGACCTAAGTGTTTGCAGCTCCTTCAGCCAAACGTAGACAGTTCTCTCCCAACTGTGGACTGGTTTCCCCAGGCCCAGTGCATTTCCATCCTTTCTCTCTCCAGCTCCGTGCATCTGGGCCTTGCCAAAGCTCCCAGCCTCCACCGTCCCGGGCAGGCCTCATGTTCTCAGGCCCCGTGTTGCCAGAGTTCCAGCACCAATGTCCTTTTTACAAAGGGAGACTCACAGGCACGGAAAGCTAGCAAGAGGTCAGCCAGAGGTAAATTCCTGGAGAAGAGGGATTCTAAGTGGGGCCTGGGACAGGGATTGAAAAGGGGAGGAGAGATTCTAACAACTATGATGGTGCCCGATGGGTACTAGACTTATCAGGGTGATCACCTTGTAAGGCAGACAGATGTCTAATTACGATGTTGTATACCTGAAACAAGGTTGGATGTCTACTGTAACTGAAAAAATTTTTTTAAAGACGGGGAGGAGAGCCCTGGCCTGGGTGGCTCAGTTGGTTGGGGCGTTGTCCCATGCCCTGCAAGGTCTCCGGTTCGATTCCTGGTCAGGGAACACGCACAGGCTGCGGGTTTGATCCTTGGGAGGGGTGCACGCCAGAGGCAAGCGATCGATGTTTCTCTCTCACATTGATGTCTCCCCCCCCCCTTACTCTCTCATCAAAAACACATTTTAAAAAGTTCTCCAAATACAATGTAGCGTTTTTGTGGTTTTTTTTTTTTGTTTTTTTTTGTTTTTTTTGCAGGGTGGGTGGGAGAGTGGTGCTTCAGGCAGAAGCAGGAGAGACTGAGCTGTGGGCAGGTGACCGTGAGGGGGCAGTACACACAGAGCCCATATGAAGGGAGAGAGTGTTGAGACGGGGGTCAGGGTGGGGCTTTAGTGGAGGGTTGGCCTGCCAGACCCTGAGAAGCCAGGTTGCGGTAACTTCATGCGATGGTGTGACAGGGGAACGCCAGGGCCTTCACTTCCAGCCCTCATTTGTAACCTCGGTCCTGTACTCTCTGTTCCTTCATCTATGCTTCGCCAAACATTCAGTAATTCCCATCAAGAGCCAGGCGAGTTTGGCTTGTTAAGGGAAAGAAGAGAAAAGGGGAATGAGTGTGGAATCACATACGTGTCCTGCACTCCGGAAGTGTAGAGCAGGAGAGAGAACGCACACATACCTCCCACCCAAAGATAGCGCCGACTGCCTCATGAACTGTGGTCACGGAGTTCAGGCACGGGAGAAGCAATGGACGGGGAGCAGGCGACACCAGGGGCAGTTCTGTGGAAGACAAAGGACTTGAGCCAGGACTGCAAGGGGAGGGGACATCTGAGTCTGTGCAACCTGGGGGAAGGGCTGTCCAGGAAGAAGTGACAATGAGCAAAGGGGGTGCAGACAAGGGCAAGGCACTCATTTTGGTGCTTGTTTTCAATGGGGGTGTTATTGGCATTATTGGGGGGCGATTTTTCATTGGATGAGTCTGCCCCATACCAAGGAGGTCTTTCAGCATCCCCGCCACCTCCCGACCCTCATCTAATGCCGGTAGCCACAGCCCCTTCCCACTTGCATTTTCCAGCCACGCTCCCCGCTCTGCGGGAAACGCTAGGTAGGTTTGGGAAGACAAGCAGTGAGATGGAAAGTTGGACTGGAACATTAGCAGCCGAGCACGGAGGGCCTCACGTGCCAGGACAAGACACTTGCGCTTTGTTAAGCAAGGAGTGTCCGAGGAGGGAGGGAACGAGATCTGCTTTAGAAAACCAAGTTTGGAGCAGGATGAACGGAGGCCTCCAGCAACCTCCCCCCCAGGTCCCTTTCAGTCAGGGCGGGCTGCTGGCGGATGGCAAAGGTCAAGGGAGGTGCTATCTGCATAGCCCTGTGGGTTGCTGGAATGTCCTATTAGAACTGTATTGGCTACATTGGGATTTGACTAATATTTCCTTGTCTCTCCCTGTCTTTCGGATCAAGCCACTTGGCAGTGACCACAATACAACTCCCCCCCTCCGCCCCCCGTTAGTCCACACGGGGAGAATTTATGTAAAACAAGAAGGAAAAGGGCAACCCTTTGAGGATTTTCTCTTCCTCCCTGTCCAGGGTCCACGGCCTGCTTAGTAAGAACAAGGGGTGCCTGAACAAGGGGACTATTCAGTCTGACCCCAGGAGAGAGGAGACCTCCCTGCCTGCCCCTCCCTGGCCAGGGCAGGACATGGATTTTGATCCACGGCTCAGAGGATCCCAAGCTGATAAAGGCTCATTGTGGCAGCTTCTGGAGAAACCCAGAGGCCATCAGGGGACTCTGGGGCTGAGCAGCCAGTTAACCGCCCTTGAACATTTGTGAAAAGAATTACTACTTGGTGGAAGTGGAAGCAGAATGAGGCCCCCGGGCTGCCGCTGGCACCACCCATGGCAAGGAGACGAACAGCAAAAGCAGCAGGAGCCGGGCCTGACAGCGAAGAGGCAGGCCAGAGGGGAAGGAACCCAGAAGCTGCGGAGGGCTCCCTCGCCAACACCTGCGGCCTGAAACCTGATCGCCCCTGTCAAATGCGAGAAACATGACTGCTCTCTTAAAATGGTCCCGGGGAGGAGAGGAGCCTCCTGCCCGCCCCTCCCTCCCTCCGAGAGCATCCGAAGCCATAAACGGCAGGAAAGAACGGCTGTGGAACGGGAGTCGGCCTGGATCCGCTTGAGGAATTATGCTCTCTCTGCTCCAGCCTGAATGTGTTTTCGAGTCCAGGCACCTTATCATTCGCAGGCCTCGCTGTTCTTACGGCAAAAACACGAGAGTAAGAAGGAAGATCCTGAGATAAATGACGCGGGAGGTGGCAGGGAGGTGGGCCGGATGGGAGGCTGGTGGGAGTATCAGCAGAATGCGGCTTTGGTGGGAGGCGTGAGGTTCAGCCGAGGGTCAGCAGCCCAGAGCACACGTGTCACTGGGGGGTGCCTGGCAAGGGTTTCCATCCCTGCTGAGGGGCCCAGGGAGGGGAGCGGGGTGCAAGGGAGGGAGCACTCGATCCCCAGAGCTACCTCTGTGCATCGTCTCCGCCTTCCTCAGCTGACAGCTGGCCCTGTCCCGTGGGAGGGAAATGCAGGATGGAGGTCAGAGACCCCGGCCTTGGCCAGGTGCGGGACCTGGGGTTAAACCGAGAGCAGAGGTTCAAGCAGTCAGTGCGCGCGCCCACAGCACGTCCTGCTTCCGCGTTATTCCTGAAAGGACTGGCACGGCTCATCCCTGTCTAGCTCTGCTTTCCCTCCCCGCACCCCCAGGGCAAAAACGTGGCCTCGTAAATGCCATTTCTACATCAAAGCACGGCAGAGCCCCCGCAGCCACCTCCTGTACACAGGAACCAAACCAGGGCAGAGGGCTCACACTCATGTGTTTTATGTCCCGTCAGGGGGCTGATGCTGACAGTGCCGGGCGGGCCAACTCCCAGTTCACAGTGGGTCCAGAGCCTCAGAGGAGAGTCGATGGCCCTGCACTCGCCGGTACCTGAGAGCCCATCTCATGACAAGCCTCACCTAACACCAGACATTCACTTCCGGTTGGGGATGGATCTAGAACACGGCCGTTTTCTGAAACTTGAGCATTTTCTGCCTTGCTGGAGATTTCGTCCCCGCTGGCCAGGCAAACATATGCACACAGAAACTGCGGGAACGTTCTGTTCAGCTCCCACAGCTCCCAGACAGAAAAACAAGCCCAGAAGACGGAGCTGCGAGGTCTGGGTGCCATTTATTGACGGCAGTTTACACACACTGGCCTTCTCCCCAAGGCCGCTCCTTCAAAGCGCGGGCACAGGGCCGAGGAGCGCAGAGCGCACGTCCCTGGCAGGCACGCCCAGCCCACAGGATGCAATCCTTCACGATGGAATTCCGCCGGGCACTAGAGACCGAGGTGGGGGTGGAGAGGAAGTCTCCCACGGACTCACATCTCAGTTCAGGCCTCCTCTCCCATGAGCCAAGTCCCTCTCAGCTCAGGAACCCCGGGGGGCAGCACATCCAGCCCACCCACCCGCACAGGGCAGACCCTCCATCCATGCCGTGCACACACCTGCCCCAGAGAGAATCAGCCTTATGGTAAGAGGCAGACCGCTTCCTCTCTGACCCGCCCGGCACCTCTTCAGCCGGGTCTGCGCAGGAACTGCTGGAAAACGGAGGCCTGCGTGCTCGGTCCAGCCGCGCGGCGTCTTCAAATCCCGGTAGACGGAGGGCTGCAGGCTACCGGTTTACTCAGGCTGACCACTGCGCTTCCCAGCCCATCACACACACGATCTGCCTTTCTTCTGCCAACTGCCTCCGCCTGGGCTGGAGCTCCCGCGGGCCTCCAGCTGGGACAGGAGTCAAGCTGGTCTGCACAGGCACTTGGCATTTTGGGTAGGGAGGTGGGTCAAGAAAGTGGGTGGAAATGAGAACAAAAGAGTTTCATCTGATAAGAGTGATTACAGAGCTGAAGTGATTTTACTTTTATTTCCTTCACGTTAAGCCAATCAGGAAATTTCACAGTGATTCTGGGGCAGAAGGAACGTGATGCCCAGAGTCCTCAGGGTGTCTCGGTAAATACTACCCACAGTGCAGTGACATCAGCGTCACCTTACTACCCTTTTCCCAAACAATTTTACTTTTATTTCCTTCACGTTAAGCCAATCAGGAAATTTCACAGTGATTCTGGGGCAGAAGGAACGTGAGCTCAGAGTCCTCAGGGCTGTGGCCCACGGGGCCCGAGCCGGTGCGGGCAGGGCAGGGCAGGCCTCACTGGGGGAGCTGCAGGAGCACCGACTGCCCGGCCGGCAGGTAGGTGATGTTCCGAGAGCGGGAGAGCTGGTAGGCGATGTCCTCCGCGGCTTCCAGCTTGCGCAGCTCGATCAGGCCGTCGCCCGCAGTAGCCAGCGAGTTTGCGATCAGCTCGGCGGCTTTGGAGTCGCCCTCAGCAGAGATGATGGCTGCCTTCTTCTGCTGCTCGGCCTGAGACAGGGAGGTGGGGAGAGACCGGGACCACACCTCAGGGCGCTGGAGGGCAGGCCCAGGCTGGGCACCCTCACTGATTCCCCAAGGAACTCTGGGTACCTGCTGCCTCCTCCCCCGGATGGGGTGCACAAGCACTGTGTGCCACCAATCTTCCCCTGTCCTGGACCACCCACTTCTCCTCATGTTAGGGATACATTCTGTCGGCTGCACAAACAGCTGTCTTGTTCCAAAGTCTTAATATTAACAGCAATCCAGCCCGGCCACGCTACTCTGAGCCAGAGCATCCCAGGCCAAGGAAAACAGAGCGAGAAAAGCAGAATCACTGCCCAGGCTCCTTCTTCCCTCCGGTCCCAGGTCAAAGTGACTTTCACCAAAGCCGGCGTCGCTAAGCCGGAGAAGCAGGTGTGTGTGGCACTCCCCTGGAGCTGCCAGGAACCCAGGCACCCAGGATGAGGGCTCCTAGGCTTGCCACACTCCTACCAATAGGACCTCTATCTGCAACGCATGACCAATAAAATGAACACAACTTGGAAACCACTAGGCTCTGTGACTATTCACTCAACAAACGTTTACCGAGCACCTAGTAGCTCCAGGCACATGTCTAAGGCTCTGGAGATAGGCAGTTTATATAAAGAAAAAAAATATTCCTGCTCAGGTCACCAAATGCCATCTGTTCCTCCTCAGAAATAGCTCTTGCATTCATCCTCACCTCTCCACCCGCTATCTGTGCCATGGTTTAGACCAGCAATTTTCAACCCTTTTCATCTCATGACACACATAAACTAACCACTAAAATTCTACGGCACACCTTACTTTTTGGTGATCTGACAAAAAAAAAAAAACAGGTCTAATTTTGATTCATTCACACCAGCTGGCTACTGGTTATTTGATGCTCTAAGGGAAGAGGTCAGGGCCCTGACTGAATAGCCAGGCATTGCGTGCGTTAGACTCTGCGGTACACCGCTCGGAAATCGCTGGGTTAGAATGCCAATGCCAACGCCAGAGGACGAGTGGTGGGAAGGAATAAACACACCTTTGCAGAGACGGGAAGACCGGGCTGCTATGCAAATACACTGTGTCCCTCACACGCTGACACATCTGGATGGGCTTAGCATTTGAACAAACCCAGTGACGACAGAGCACCTGGTGCAACATTTGATCCCTTTCGCTGTCAGCTTTCACTGTGTAACTACGGTTAAAAATGACCTCTCAGCGAAGCTGAAAATGTGCCAGGAGAAAAACATTTTTATTTGTAGAAAGTGTTTTTGATCTTAGGGAAGCGGAGGGAAAAAAATGGCCCTTCAGTGATTTGGGAACGTAACTTCACATAACCCCTGACTAGCCCCCAAAGACTCTGGAGCCAGTTGCAGGAGTACGGTCCTTCCATCCCCTTCCAATGATCCCGGAAGGAGAGATGACGGATGATGAATTTCCAGGCCACCCAGCAAACGGGGAGGCCGAGCGCAGGAGAAAGGGGAGAGGGGCTCCTGCCATCTGGCCGAACGCTCACCTTTTCCACCACAAATCTGGCCCTTTCCGCTTCCTGCTGGGCCACCTGCTTGGCTTCTACTGCTTCTGTGAACTCCTTCCCGAAGGTCAGATGTGTCTGAAGGGAGAGAGTGAGCGCAAGATGAGGCGGTGTGATTGCTCAGACAGCATGGCTGCGAGGCCCCCGTGGCCGCTGGGGGGAAACGCCAGGAATGGCTCTAGCAGCTGGAGGCTTCGTGAGGCTGGATCCCCCTTCCACCTCCATAGCTGTGTCCAAACTAGGTTACACCCAGAGCCCTCGGCTGCCCCTCTGCTCCCGTACATCATGCTGTCATCTCAGTGCGACCATCTCAGATGGAAAACGGCCCACAGGCACTGAAGGTATCTACTCAACTGAGCACCTCCCTAGAGAAGGAGACCTGTGGGTCCCAGCGCCCCCACCATGACCAGCACTCTTGAAGGCCCTCTGATGCCCCTGGGGAGGCCAGGTGGAGCCCCCGAGAGGGAGGGATGAGCTGGTTCTCAGGGGTTCGAGGGCCTGCTGCTCTGTGCTTACGGGCTAACCAGCCCCTTCCTTCCCACAGCACCTCCACCACCAAACAGGAAGAGGACAGGAGAACGTGGGACGCACATCAGGGTGTTCCCTGTGTGAGTGCTTCTGGTAAAGGGTTTAAAAGAGAGAGAAGGCAGCTAAAGCTATTGCTTAGGAAGAAGGTTTAAAATTCGGATTACCCAGACATCCCCTAAGAACATAAATAACTGAGGCTTGGCCGAAGTGACTGCCCCACTGATCGTGCAAACAAAGGGAACAGATCTCAGAATGCCTAATGGCGAGTCTAGAAATGATTTACTTATTTATCAACTTTTTTTATGAAAAAGGAAGAAATAAAGGGAAAAGTAGCTTTGGTTTTGCTATCAAATTCTACTGTTTTTATTTCCTCCTCCACTCTCCCAATCTCTGCTTTTTAAAAAAGCGTAAGTAACTCAAGTTTCCTCCTGGAGAGTCAATCCTAGTCTCACTGCCTTCGAATTGTGAACACTCCTGACGCTTACGCTGCGGCTGTTCTACTTTGCCTGCTGTTTCTGGACTCTTGGTCAACGTTTGAGGAAGAAAACGCAATCCTGAGAGATGAGGAATGAAATGTGCAATTAAGGAATAAGTTTTCTTTCTAAAAGGGCCAGCTGAGGGCAGCAAATTCCCCATGAAATCTAATTTTCTTCTCACACCTCTTAGATATGGTTTCTTGTGGTCAGCCCACATTTCCCCAGAATGGAGCATGTGGTTAAAGTCTCACAAAAGGCCACGCTTCTCCTTGGGTTTTTACTTAGCATTTTCCCGCAGCCGAGGTGCGCCGGTTAACAGTGGGAACCCGAGGAATTACCACTCGTCAGAGCCAAATGGCTGCAGCCTGGAATGTCGCCAGTAGAGGGAGCCCACAGGCCCTTCCCTGGCGGGCAATGGCGGCAAGGTGGAGCCGGTGGAGCCATGCCCTGCAGCCAGCTCCGGGTGCTGGAGTGTGATGTTTAAACAGCTGCACAGATGCTGAGGGGGAAACGGTGCCTTTGCCTAGCGATGCACAGGAGAACGAACAGGAAACACTACCTCACTACCTGAACAAATCACTCCAATGGTTTTTCCCACGAATCTAGAAACATGAACCCTCCCCTCGCCCCTCCATCTGAAACGCTACTCGGCCTGTACTGCTTTCCGTCTGACTTACGGCGTTTGGCGTGTATAAATACACAGATATGCAGGCTCAGTCCTCGGCGCTGGGGAGCAGAACCCTTCATTTACACGCGATCACCTTGCACTGGGGGTTCCCACAGCTCAGGTCACTGAGCCTCAGACCCTACGTGCTGGGAAATGCCCACGGGTCGGGCTGGGAGGTCTGCGCTCGGGAGAAAGACTACTCGAGTGTTCTCCAGTCTCGCCAGGCAGTTTCCTCCTGTGTCAGACGGTCAGCAAGGCACCACTCCCCGGGGAGCTCTGGGGAGCAGGCATAGGCAGTCACGGTTTGGGACGGTGAAACACTCGTGGTTAGGTCACTGAGCCTCAGACCCTACGTGCTGGGAAATGCCCACGGGTCGGGCTGGGAGGTCTGCGCTCGGGAGAAAGACTACTCGAGTGTTCTCCAGTCTCGCCAGGCAGTTTCCTCCTGTGTCAGACGGTCAGCAAGGCACCACTCCCCGGGGAGCTCTGGGGAGCAGGCATAGGCAGTCACGGTTTGGGACGGTGAAACACTCGTGGTTAGGTCACCCCCCTGGCAGCGCCAGAGTCAAGAGT